ATGAATGGGAAACGCGATGTGGCTGCTTCGTGGATCGGCCGACCGTATCAAAAAACGGATTAACCGACGGCACGGATTCATTGGCTCGTCGAACGTTTGAAACGGTTTTGAAAGAGAACAGCGGGAACGCAATCGCGCTAGTTATGGCCGTACGATTGAAACCATCGATTTGTTAGCAGGACGCTCGTCGTTTGTATAAGATACTTCAAAAAATTTTATGCGACGTGCAATTCGTTGGAACTTCAGAAACGTTTAATGATTTACAAATGATTGGACAGAATAGGTGATATATTTATCTTGATCGAAGGATGAGAACAATTTACCCCGGACCAGACCAAACAGCTTTAATTCTGGCATGAAGGGGAGCATAATTTTTACGGTAATCTCCATGATTGAATTAGAGGGAGTATCGGGCTCCTAATAAGAATTCGGTTGAAAATTAATAAGAAACCGAGCCCCTCGATGCGACGACGGACTAATCCCGGTGGCGAGGGAGGGAAGGAGGTAGGGAGAACCGATCCATTTTCGAGCGGACACCCGGAAACCCGCAGACGAGAACAAGAACCCACGGAACCGTGAATTTCCAGGCGTTTCGAGTCCCGTTCGATCGGCTGTTCGCCGAGAAATGAGCAATAGATCGAAGGGAATCCGCCGTACGCACACAGACGGAGAAAGTAAAATACGGACGGAGAGGGAGAGTCGGCGAGGGTGGATAGAATGGAGATGAGACAGAGAGAGAGAGATAGTACGCCAGCGCGTACACGCGCGTAATCCACAGCGTGACTATTAGTCGTAAGTCAATAATAAAGCCCTTGTCCCGGGCCGACCATAATGGCCCCGGTGAATTATTCCATCCAGGACGCATTGTCCCGCAGGATCGTCCGCGGGGATAGAATTGTCGCCGGGGCCCGTCGATATATGCGTTGTACACACGCGTAAGATCTCGAGAACGCGCCCAGGTCCGGGCGTATTCACCTACGCAGCCCATCCGTAATTGAGATGGATGTTCAATTAATTTGGCCAGGTTTCATTTGCACACCACGCCGATTCTCCGTGGACGAGCGCGAGATCGACACAGACTTTCCTGAGCTCGTGTCTCGGGTCGAGAGCGCGATTTTAAAACAAGGCGCGATCTTAAAACACCTTCTTTGTCGCGTAATCGATTCGGAAACGAGTTTTCTAAAGAGTGAACGGTGCTCCGTGAACGTAACACGATTCGGAAGTGTGTAGCATTATACTTGGCAAATTGCCAGCTCCGTAAGCGACACCAGCCGAAACGCGCGTGTATCCACGTACGTAACGACGACGACGACGCGACGCCTAGAGGAGAGGAGGCGGTCTGGTACAAATTGGAACTTCAAAGACATTTCCCTTCGAGGAAGAAGATTCTTTTTCCCTGGGCGGCACAGCGGAAATAAACTTTATAGAGCGAGCGTGAAACTACCCCCTTCGGCAACGTGTACGTGTCTATTCTTACGTAATGGGCCGCTCAACTTTCTCTCTCTCCGGCGGCAGGGATGAATGGCCCTGACAGTCGGCAATATTACGAATTTATCGAGAGGATTCGACCGACGCTTAGTCGACGTAACGTCACTCTTCCTTTTGTTGAAGTTCTTCTCCGCGCGGATGCCTGTCTGCCTGAGAATTCTACTCTCGAGACACTTTGCTCTCGAATTTTCCGGATCCCACCCTTACCACGCCGCGTTTCTTTTCCTTCGCGCGGAACTTCGATAATGCCGCCGCTGCTGCTTCAAGAGATTGTAGAATATATTTATGAAATACTCTCACGCAGAAATGTATCCGCCCTCGCCGCGGAATTATTCGGAGCTCGGAAGAAAAGTCGGCTGAACGCAGGACTATTTATTTTACTATCCTTACATTTATCTCGCGATCCTTTCGGATCGGCAGACATTTTAAAATTGAAGGAAAAACTGGTATACGTTAAGGATGTATTGGCTATACAGTCAATCCCAAAAGTTTATGCACTTTAGAAACGCATTTTTTAAAAAGAAATCAGACGTCGGAAGAACATTGCTAATAATAAACAACAACAAAAAAAATTTCGATTTTTCCGAGATTTTTCCAAGGGGTACCCCTCAAATTTATTCCAAATTTTCGTTTTTTGCCAATAACTCCTAAACTGTTAGCGATACGAAAAAAATGCATCAGATCCATTTTGTAGAGGACGACGAGATCTACAATTTCTGTGCAAAAAGAATTCGCTACTGTCAATAGTTAAAGAGTTATAGGCGAAAAACGAAAAACAGTTTTTTGCAAATTACTCGCGAACTATTGATGCTAGCGAGAAACCTTTGTATAGAGATTGTAGCTCTCGCCGTCCCTTACAAAATGAGCGTACTTACGTTCCTCTACGTCCATCCGTTCGGGAGTTATTGAGGAAAAACGAAAAGTCTTTTTAAAAGTTCGCTATTTCGACGGGCGAATTCGCCTTCAGATTCTGCAATTCGCCCGTCGAATCTGTGAACTTTTAAAAAGACTTTTCGTTTTTCCTCAATAACTCCCGAACGGATGGACGTAGGGGGGCGTATTTAGAAGCATTTTGTAGGGGACGACGAGATCTACAATTTCTGCGTACAAAGAATTCGCTAGTGTCAATAGTTAACGAGTTATTTGGAAAAAACTGTTTTTCTGTTTTTCGTCAATAACTCGTTAAATATTGATGCTAGCGAAGAATTTTTATACAGAAATTGTAGATCTCGTCGTCCTCTACAAGACAGGTTGTATGCAATTTTCCCGTAAGTGCAACGGTTTACGAGTTATTGGCGAAAAACGAAATTTTTTGTCAAAAGTTCGCCGTTTCGAGGCTGGGATGGTCGAATTTTGTCAACATCTATAAAATGCCAAATAATCATATGTAACTTGTTAAATACTCGAGTTAGAAGAAAAATTCATAGAATCTTTCTTGTTGAGAACGTCAGGGCTTATAATTTCTGTATAAAAAGCTTTCCGCCAGCGTCAATACTTAATTGGATATTTCCTTCTATACTTTTTAGCACGTAGCTATTTATTATTAGCATTATTCTTCCGACGTCTGATTTCTTTTTAATTACAGGAAATGCGTTTTTCTAAGGTACATGAACTTTTGAGATTGACTGTATAGCCAATACATCCTTAATTCGACGATGCGACGCTGAAATTTTGCGCGTGCAATTTTGATCGTGCAAATCCAACGCAGTACATTAGATAGAGCGACAACAAAAATCCTCTGATTGGATGATTAAGGGCCACGTTGCGAGCACAACAGATTTCACGCGCGCCACCGGGACGGACTCGTTACACAGCCATCGACAACGTTAATTTACGAGTGACCCATAATCAAACCAGCGCGGTCTGTTTGCGCGTCATATTGGAACGGTTCTCCACACATTCGGCGGGGCATTCACGGTCCGCGTATTTGCGGACTCAGGTAGCAAAGGTATCTCCCTCACCGGACCAAAGATTATCGGGAATTGCGACCGCCGCGCAGTTGGATTACATTTCCCGTGTGTGTAATTCGACCGGCTGAAACGGGGCACTTTTGCGTCTGCGACACGTTACAACGCCGCGGTAAGCCAAACGCTTCCCCTTGTACAATCGATTTCCGTTTAATTAATTAACGAACAAAAACGTCGATTTATAAAACTGAAATTGCTTAATAAAAAAATTCGTAGCGATACATTATTTGGAGAATCGTAGGAGGATGTCTGCGAGACAGCTAAAGAAGAATGGCAAAGACAGGCTGGTTAAAGATGAACCACTTTGGACGTCGGGAATCGTGCGACACCGGTTCTAAAATATTCACGCGGGCCTGCGTTCGACGAGCCCGTCGACGAAAAGAACGAACCATGTCCCCCAGGACATGGCCGCACGGTCCTCTTTGGACTTCGAAGTTCGACAGGACCATGCAGTCCACCCTAACAGATGGGACGGGGGAGGGAGGGAGGAGAAAAAAAAAGGAAAAGCGAGAAGAGAAAGGAAGAACCATTGTGACTTTCGATGACAATCGTCGCGACCGGGACATTTGATCGAATCAATCGATTGCTTTCCATGGTTCTTCTAAACACGCGTCGACCGGGGGTGTACGGGGGGGTGCGGACTGCGTCAAAGGGCCAGAGAAACCCGGGAAACGAAGGGCTAGTCCCTGGAGAGGGCTGGCGTGGGATAGAGAGGCTGGCGAGGAGGGGGGAGGGCTCGGCCGAGGGATGGAGGAACCAGGAAAACCGAGTAGCTCCGGGCTCATTTGAATCCGACGCTCGATAATGTCCCTGGAGAGCATCGAAATATCTCGCGTGCACGTATACGCATGTATGCATGCGTCGCGATGTTGTAACGCCGCGGCGCGGCGCGCCGTTTGCCGGCCGCTGTGTCGTCCATCAATGCCGTTGCAATAAAATCCGTAAACGGAAAAAGGATTCGCCTTCGCTATGGAATTATGGTCGACTCTGATCGATAGCTATCGTTTCGTTCCTACGGGATACAAATGGGACGAACGCGACGATGATCAAGTAGTACAGGTCAACCATTGGTCTCTCGTTTTTCCGTCATGAACGCAGGACTCCTCTGGAGTAATCGCGACTCCGATTTTCCAGAGACGACGCGTGAGAAGTCACGACAAGAAGCAACCAACACTCGCCCGAGGCGGTTCACGTTCACCGGGTGAGACGCGGGGGGCAGGGTCTCGGGGAGGTTGGATTTTCCTGTCGGGAGGTGGAGTTTAGAGGTCGGGAAATTAGTTTAGTTATGCGCCCGGCAGGGACGTCTCCCGCTTCGCCTCTAGGATGAACGCGACCCGGCGATGACTACGGAGCACGTAGACGTTCTAGCGTTCAGACTTTCTCTCGGGTTCTCTTTAACTCCCTTCAAGAATCCCTCCTCTCTTTCCCTATTTATCCGCGTACCGGAGAAACGATTCCCCGGGACAGAAAAGCTCTCGGATTCTCTCCCGAACCAATCCGGAGCGAAGAGCGATAAAAATTGCTGTTCCCCGAATTACGTCCTACCTGCGAGTCCTCCTCCGTGAATATCGCGTCGAAGGCAAACATCTTCGGGGCCGCCACCGTCGGCCTTCGATCGTCCGCCGTCGACGATTGCCCGGCCGTTGGATCCACCAACGTCACCTGTTTCTTCCTCTTGTCCGCGTTGAAGAAGCTCCCGCCCTCACCGGGCGACACCTTCAACATCACTTTCACCTGAAAGCAAAAGAAATTTCAAGTTAGAATTCAATTCGTTGCTCCTTATCTCTCGTTATCTATTTTCTACGAGACACACGATACCGGCGAGGGTAAACTTCATCGAGTAAGATCGAAGCTCTCGAAGGCCGACGTCCAGCGGATGATCCGCCTGGAACGAGCTAACGTTACGTAACGAATGAAATCTTCTCCTCTCGGAGTTAACAATGGCCTCGTCAGAATTATCTGATGGACAGCCTCAGCCGGAAAATAGACGGTGGGACTAGAATTACCGACGAGCGACCCACATTAACCGATCTGGTTCAATGAACCCCCTCTCTCGCGCGTTTAAACTCTGCCTGGCTCCTCCGATAGGAACTAATACAGGCGCCCGGGTTGATGAACTTTGATAAGACGAGACGCGGCGGTCTACGTTTATATCTCCATATCATACCTCCATCCGAACTTTGCCCTTAATTATGATAGACGTTCATTCGTCAGCTAGTGACAGACGGTATCGATCAACGAGCGTCGGATTACGAACCTGTCTATCCGTCGAGCAATCTTACATTTCCTGTACTCGAAAATAGCTTCGTCGATGGACGCCGTGTAAATTAATATTCTACTACTGATTCTCGCTATTTTAAAATACCTGTCTATCTGTTCACCGCGCGAACGAGACGCGAGAAGATACTCAGAAACATTATCAACTTATAAATATCAATGAAAAGGGAAAAACTATAATTGAAGTCACATTTGTGACTCAACTTTCTATCATCGACGCAACGGGTCGGGCGCCCGTTCGATCGTTCAGGAAATTGCGTTTCAAGATTTCGCTCAGATTGCGCGCCACGTTCTATCTTTTTGCATACTGCACAAGGAAGAGAGGCTCCTCTATCTCATCCCACCGGCGACTCCCTCTCTCTTTTTTTCCAGCTCCTTTCCCGAGAAACGTCTCTGTACGTAGTAGTTTACCGTGAAAAGACCGGGACGCTGGCCGATCTGAGCGACCGGAAATAAAATAGCTCCTTTCCAGTCTTATTGGAAAAACTGCGCATCGATTGCCTCCAACCTTTCCCACCTCTCCATATCTTTTTGTTTTTTTTTCCACCCCTCGTTCACGTTTTGCACGTATTCGCGCGCAAATCACTTTGTCTTCTTTTCCTGGCCTGAACGCTGTTCATATATCTCGTAACGAGGCTGATCTCGGGGCGTGGATATCTGTTCCGCACGAACGACTCCAAGAATCATGTTCTCGAAATCCCGACGCGGATATTTCTCTCTGTCCTCTCGTCCCTTTCTCTTTTCTGCCCGAGAACCACCGAATGCCGGACCGGAGAGAAAACCCTGTCCGAGAGCAGCCGGTGAAAACTTCAAAGCTTTCGAAATTCACGTGCAATTTACACGAATTAATTAACTACGTGAAAAGAAGCTTTGCCACGAGAATCGTACAGATAAAAACGCCGGAAATTGTAATAAGAAATTCGTTCGGTTGGAAACAAAGAGGTAAATCGAGTATACAAATTCACGATCCATTAATCTCGCTCCATGAATTAATTAGAAGACAACGCGACACTGTTCGGTATAAATAGTGCGCCAGACCTTCCATATGTCTTCCTAATTTACACCATTGTAATCCTCAATCTTGCCCTAATGATTCCTGCTGGATTCTGCCGAGGCACGCTGCCAACTTGTCCGTTTCTATTCACCGATTCTCTAAATTTTCGCGCCACGCCCGTCGCGATCGCTACGTACGTACGTGTAGCTCTTTCCCTCTATCTTTTCGAGCCGACCGGTGCAACAACCTTTATACCTTTTGTTCGACTCCCTTGGCACTGGCAAGTTTTCCTCGTTTCTTCCACCACGTGAAGCCGTTTTATCCACTTTTCGCAGAGAGTTCCATTTTTTTCTCTTTTTTATAATGCCCGACGGTTTCGATCTGAACGAAATCTCACCGTCAAACTTGAAATCATCGTTGATCATCAGAAAGTTAAGAGTTCAAATAATTTGAGAAGCTGTCATGCATGTAAAGGGTTTGGATTCGACGATTCCTCTCGGTTTTCAACGAGGAACGCGGTGTGCCGGTGACAACGGAAACGGGCCCCAGGCCGGAAGCTCGCCGTTAATTTCTCAACGTCCAAACGGGAATGAGTCGCGCGGGCTGCTTCATACACGGCCGACACCGTCGGTGTCGTTCCCCGGACGGACGTTAAAGTGCACAAATGTTTTATGGTGTCAGCGAGTATTATCCGCCGATTTACGATGCCGGCACCCCGTCGCGCCGCGCCGATACCTCCCGCGAACTTCGACATAAATTCGTCTGGCGCGCGTCTCTCATCCGGAAACCGCGACGTAGTCCGTGCGCATCCGTTCGTAAGTTTTAAGACACTTCCAACTATCTATCAAAAGGCCTGAGAAATATTTCAAACTAAAAATTGCGAGCATGAAATAAATTATGAACAGTTTTGGTAAAATTTAGAATTTATCGTAACAAAAATTTGAAAATATGTTTTGATACTCATTTCATTCGATTGTATGTCTTGCGGTGTGTACTAGAACTTATCGAGGTTCTACACACTCGTATTCTCTCGTTTAGTCAAAGAGACCGCTGAATGCATTCCTCTTTGACCAGGAATCGTCAAACAGTTTCGATTACGCTCGCCGAGGTCGGCTCGAACGAGTCTCGAGTAAGTACTCTAACGTGGCTCGTCAAACACGGCCGTCTTTGAGAGTGAACAATAGCGTGTAAAGAGGAGACGCTCGTGTGACAATTCTCGTGGAAGAGGTACGAAGGAATACTCGACGGCGAAGAGGGGCGAATAAAGCCATCGGTGCGATCGACTCCCGGCGCAAATAACCGGAATTAATCGAACCGCGCTTTGGTTTTTAATCGCGAAAACAGCCGGCTTTCCCTCTTCAGACGGCCCGATACCCGGAGGGCGCTCGAACTTTGAAGGCGAATGTCATGAAAGTGATTGCGACGAGACTCACTCTCTCTCTCTCTCTCTCTCTCTACCCTCCTCCTTCCTAGTACCCAGAGATTACTCGCAGGATAATCTAAATAATCATCGTCTCCGTGAGGGAAAACGCGATTCCTCATGGTGCGTGCAACCCCTTCGTTAAAACGGTAGTAACGTCGTATCGACGTTCCCGTGGCCCGGGGCGAATTCGTCGGTGCGCGATCGACTTACCGAAAGTTAATACCTCCTTTCTGTGTCTCGGGTAACGACCACCGCTGATAACCACCAACTGCCCAAAAGACTTTGTTCATTATTACAGATAAAAAGCGCCATTAATTAAAAGGCGACGAAGTACAGTGCTTTACTCTATCGTCTGCGCATAGTAAACAGGCATAAAACAAGGTTTTTAACTCGCACGTGATCCGTCAATACGTCACCTCTGATACAAATGATTAATTATAAAAAGAAGAAGTGTTTTGATGTATTGATATCACTGCAAGTTTGCATTGTCTAAAAGCGATTAATCCAAGTTTGATAATAATAGGAGTACATATATTGCAGCGATGTACTCCCGCGAGATTGGAAACGAAACCCACATCCAATTCGGATCGACTTACGAGCGGTGTACCGAACCCGTTATTACGTGCTCTACGCGAATAGATAAGGCGGCGTTTGATAGCGAGGCGCACGACCGGATAGAGGCCTTTGATTCGAGCCCGTCCCCGCGCGCAGTGTTATCTCTTACCCACCACCGGGCAGACGTATCTAAATACTCGAGGCTTGGGGGCGAACATCGGAGGGTGAAAGTCTAGAGGAATTCGTAACCACGAAGAGAGCCCCGGGCTATTCGAACGAAATTTGCGTCGCGAAATGGGTCAGGGGCGAGGCCGCCGACAAATGTGATTTTCCTCAGACGAGAACCGCCACCCACTCTCCCTCCCGTCCTGCCTCCTTGCCGTCCAGCGTTCCGACGTAGGTGATGAGACACAGAAATCTAGCTACCACCCATCCCGGATTTTCATTCCAGAGGGGTTGCCACTCTAACGCGTAATAAGGGAACCTCCATACGTGATAAGTCGAGGGGTGAATTAACAGAAGGGACGAGTCCAGGTTCATAATCCTTCTGATTTAACCCTGCCTGACTCAATTATTTCTCATTGAAAACATTAATTTTTGTCGTTTTGCACCGACGCCAGGTGTAAAAACAAGACGAGGGTAAAATTGACAAGGGTCGCCCGGCTTATGATCCCTTCGATCGGCTGTAACAAAAACGTCCCCCTTCCAACTGAACCCAACCCTTCGTTTTACACCTCGTCCGGTTTCGACTTCGGCCACCGTCTCCCCCCATCGACACCCTTGGCGCCGAGCGAAATTCCTCAGCGGATCTCCCAATTAAAAATCTTCCAGTACAGTCACGCGATATTTCGCAAACCGTCCGCCGTTTCCGTTTCGTTCGGTATGTCGCTTATCTCCCGAGCTGGAATTCCATCCATTCTACCTGGAAGCCACATCGACCAGCGGTGACTAACTCAGTACAACACGAAACACTTGGCAAATATTCAAACATCTTTCTTGCAAATTTTTCGTATATTTCTAAAGAACCTTAGACTCAATGAGACTTCAGATTGCAACATAAAAAAAATACACACGTGGTCGATTAATGAAAAGGATGAAAAATGGAACTAGCTTTTAACAGGAATGCTGTATATTAAGTTTGCTATTTATGAAAGGGGTTAGGGTTGTCAGTCAACGCAGTGCGATAGGCGAGGCTGAAGCGTGCCACACGCTACTTTAGCGTGGCTCGGCTTATATACAACGGTGTGACGTAGTAATGGCTGTATAATGGCGCTGGTACACGTTACGCGCTTAATATCGCGCCGCGTAACGTCTACCGACGTGGAAAGGAACAACTTGAAATGCTCGGTTTACTTAGTTACGAACCCCTGCCACCCTGGTACCTGTTCCAATCCCTCATCTCCTCCGGAGCGAACGAAACTTCCCAACGAAATTTAGCCTCTAATTTCACTTGAAGATTTCACTGATGAAAAGTGGATCGGTGTT